AAATTATATTCTTTGTAAAGTAACAAATGATACAGTACAATGATAACACGCATATATTCTTGACGGATTTTGTTGGTGTAATAGTAGCAATGCATGGCTAATAATCATCGGATCGTGGGTGCGATCATCACCGGCTCCAACGTTTTAGACTGCGCTTAGAAAACAGGATTTTAAATTGGTGGTAGAAATATTGCTATTTCAATTGTGTCACGAATCACCGTCCACCGATGGAAAAGCCGCAAAGTTTAGTCAGTCTGTGGATCTCCTAATATCCAAAAGCAAAATAGGTTGATTTCACTACTTGTTTAGATGGTTGGGACTTGGGGTATGTCACCTACCATCAAGTTTACCCCATGTTCTGTCCTCCTCAATCATAAAAAATAACGAACCTTCGCAGATTAATGGACTACATATCACGTAATATTTTTTAAATTTAACCAAATACACAAAAAAATATGCGAAAGTTTTTTTTAACTAATGTCAGTCACTCCGTTGCACAGGTACAAATCCTGTCATCCAGTCCAGGTGTCAATCATTTTAATTTTATTAATTAGATTTTATACAACGTTTTGTGTTGAAATGTTTTTTATGTCTGCAGCCTACGAAACCAGATCAAAGGTTATTTGTATCATTAATTTTATTACAGCACAGTATTATGCATGCAGAATTTCTACGTCCCAATTTGGGTCATTGATTTCGTGCATTTGTTTTTCTAACACATAACACAGACTGAGGTTAACAAAGCCGGGTTAGGTCAAGCGCCACGTACAGAGAATATTATGTAACTCATATTTCAATGGGGACCAAAGTAATAAATATACGATATATTATACAACTAATAAGCTGAAGAGTTTGTGTATTTAATTAAACGCCCTAACCTCCGAAACTACTAGTAAGAATTAAAAGATTACTTTCTGTTGCAATTATATATCCTGAGAGCGTCCGTTACATGCGCTGTGATAAACGACTCCAGAAACCAAAAAATAAGTACGAAAGAATGATTCCTCTTTGAATGATCTAAAAAATGTCCGCGACAACTTATGACTATTTTTTTTAATTCATTTGCAAGATACGTTTTAATGGTAATCAAAATTGGTCGAAATGCATAGCAACAGGCAACTAATTGTTAGAGTTGTATCTACGTAATAATCTTAATCTTGTTAACAAGAAAACAATGTTTGCCGGATGAGCTAATTATATACAAAATAAAAAATAAATTAACCTTCGTGATAAAGACCATCTTGTAATCAGAAAGCGTGGATTACTGAGAGCTGTTTTGCAGCCTGCAGGTAGACAAATTCGTTATATGTACGACGACGTATTAGTAGTATTGTTTGCTAGTTTGATTAGCCCTCGATGTTACCTACCTTATATGGCAAATAAGACATTTTTGCCTGCTACCAAAATCTAATATTATCATATGTGTGAAATTACTTAAATTTAAACCGTTGTTGAATAAAAAGTTAAACTAATACATTTCGCGTTTGAAACCGTTAAGTGTTTTCTTTAAGTATGATAGAAGCGCTTAAATTTTTTTGGTATAATTCCTACCTACTTTCAATGAGTTTACCTATGACGTAAAAATTACAGAGAAACGCAAATTTAGAAAGTGATAATGTAAAAAATAATTACCATCTATTTAAATAATATTGCAAAACATAAATAAAATGCTAAAGTATAAATAAGCAGCATATATCGTGTGAATGCCGGCATAGTGAAATTACTGCGGGTGGGCATCGCCGCTGACTTTCTGAATACACTCTACATAATAATCCCCTCTAAACCACGTCATCTGTCCACTCTGATAATGCAGCAAGCGATTCTCTCACTACAAATTAAATCTACCGAAATTTCGCTTTCTACAACTGTTATTTAACTCTGACTACAATTACGTTTCAGTTGGTCAAATATGCTTGTTAGTGTACAACATTAAACTCACAATAAAATAAACTAAAAATTAATTTAGATTAATAATAAAGTATTAAATATTTACACTTTACGTGCAGTTTGAGAATATACTTCAAGTGCAAATTAAGTACCTACTGTCTGTTTTAACTTTTCGTTTTAAACCGTTAAAGTGCTTTGTTTAAATAGTGCACATTGCCAGTGTTTACATGTGTCAGTGTAAATGAGCTTTCTAGACGTTTATTAATAATTTCAAGATGTTGGAGGCAGAGCCCACCGGCAACTGGTTCAGGTCCTTAAAAAAATGAAAAAGACTGAAACATCCAAAGTTTTTAAAATTCTCATATAGCCTACTCACACATTCAGTCAATATGCCTAACATACGACATAAACGATAGATAACATATATAGTAAATATTATTTACGTAAAAGTATATCAATTAATATTTCTATTTAAAGTTAAGTGTTGCCTAGTATTGAAAAGTAATTTTATGTGTATCAAAACTTATGTAAGCGATTTGCAATAATGTACCGTATTTTACCGTCCTTCAAATATTTTAATGTAATAAATGTTTAGCATTGAATTTAGAAGCGATAACAATAATCTAACGAGATTAGAAACAATTTACTAATGGACGTTCGGTGTACGCTAGTTTCTTAACGCAGGAAGATCGAAATTTCTTATACATGACGTACATAGTATTTAAACGAAGAACTAACATTCTTAAAACATACATTACAACTCATAGTACTAATAAACGCAGTGGTTATAGAGATAAATTGATATTTAATCTATGCACTACGGGTGCTTTTGCTCCATTAATAGTAACTATATCCGACATAAGTCATTACAAGCGTTAGAACACAGCCACACACGTATGGCAGACATTTATATAATAATAATAATCTTATGCCATTTAAACCCGAATGCAATCTCAACATTCAAAAAATATATCTCAAGTGGCTTTCAAAAATATCTGTTTTCTGACAGCAGATAAAATACATATATGCGTTTGATTAAGTTTACGTTGATGTAAATTATTACCTCGTTGTTATGGATTTATTATTGTTACCATGATGTAACGACATTAACTATTTCAGTCACCAGGTGATGTTCATAAAATCCATTTTGTTTCTGAAACACGTTAGACTTCGTCTAGATTGTCTCGATGAGAAATAGATGTAAGGAGTATTCTCAGCACTAAAAACTCCGCTCTGGTCAATTGTATTGTGATAGGTAATTGCCGGGATGATTGTGTTTCAGTTTCAGCTTGTAAATTCTCTGTCTCTCGTCTTTCATCAAGCGAACGTATCTGTCCTCCTCCTACCGATTATGGCATTTATTCATGTTTTGTTTATTTTGCACCTATGCCAATCAATTTAACTTCATTATCGTAAAGCAAGTCAATAGGAACGAACACTGAACGCGAAGCAAAGAATAGCGTGGTTCCAGTGAGCGGACGCAACATACGGTCCTTACCCCGGCGTACAATGCTATCTCCCATCAGGCAGCCATTATTTCGTATTCATTAATTATTTCTTCTAATACGAAGTGACGTTCAGATAGAGCTTATCCCACAATTTTAATTGTCTTTCCTTTGAGCTGATTAGCATCACTGTTTATGGTTTTCGAGACTTGATTTATCAGTTTTATTAAGTTTGCCAAAATACTACTATCTACCAATCCTTATCTAAATAATACTATTAGTGTAAACCTTTTCATTTTATTTTTATTGTAAACCTTTTGTGCTTCGTTAATTAGGAATCTGAATCTTGGATTAACATAATATAATTAATAATGGCATACAGTTAAATAAGATTTATTCACATTTTATGAAGAACGCAAAAATTTAATCAATACTTTTTCCGCAACGCCCAGACAACGAATAATTTTCTGTTTTACTCTGGTAGACTTGTTTTGTGGTTAAAGGGGGATCCATAACGTTATACTGGAATACATCATCAACGCAGAATAGACGTACGATGAACTGTAAACGAATCAATAATGTTTGACGCCCCTTTATTGGCGTGTCGGGTGACGGCTGATGGTACCTTCCCGTGCCTTTCGCCTTTGTATGTCGATGTTAGAATTATGCATTCAAACATTAACATAGATTATGAATAATATATACTTATGATCTGTTAGAAAAGGTAAGATTCGACGCGGTCGTGGAATGTGACAAAGGGTTTAGTGTTTATAATAATTGTTACGACTGGACGACCTCCCACCAGGTTAGATTCAACTAGCGAACGACTGGAAGTTTTTGAGGGAGGCCTATGTCCAGCAGTAGACACCGAACTCACTCCGAAGTACCTCAATGTTGTGTTTCAGCTTTCCAGTATATTTGAAGGCATAGTTTATAGAATTATCGCATAATGTGCTAATCGCAAGTCTCCAAAACCTTCGCTTGCTCTCAACCTCGTCTCGGCAGCTTTCAATGCACGCTTCTCTTACATCACCTGATGCTATCTCTTAGCCTAATTCTATTGTGTAACGAGTTCAACTCAACAATACCATATCCTTCTCTACGTCACCGAATCCAATCACTGTTGTGCGAATCTTATCTGCTTATCAGATACCGTTTAATAAAGTTTATACTACTACCATATGAGAACGATAATGTTTGTATTAATAATTTTATTTGCATCGATATCCACTAGTTTCTAACATGAAAGTTGTTCTAAGAAATTGGGACTCAGCATCTTCGCTTTCGTTCGCATATTGTCCACGTCTGTTATGTGCGCGTCACTTAGTACCTTTTATTAGAAGGCTCGCGAAGTCTTTTGATGGAAGTTTTTTTTAATATTTGGGGTAAACTTTAGCATTTATACAAAGGTAGGTAGACTACTTAAAAGGGATTGGTAGTGGCTTAAGGAAAATGAATATAGAAATAGTTCTTACTCAGGGATCATATAGAATTATTTCAATGGCAGTATCTTTGCAAGCGATACAGTAGATGTGTTTCTGATACAAACAGATTACGGACAAGTCTTCCCACTTTAGAATATTTACAGATACAATTGCTCTGTCTCGTGCGGTGATTGTCGCATCCGCTAGTCGCTTCTGGTTAATTAAGGGTTGAAATGGGACTCACCTGGTGGGTTTTCGTCAGTATCGGGAACAAGTAAGTGGACGCGCATTCATGCTAGCGCGGTCGACGACCCGGCGCAGGCGCAGGCTAACGGGCTTCAGGCGGGCACTATACACTGTCACACAGAACTGACGCAAGTGGATCGCACGGTGGCTCGCGGCGGACTAAGACTAGCCGCTTGTCGTCGGCGCCGCGTGCGCCTATGGCCTTGACCCCCCTCACACCTCGCCCCTCTCACTCTTGACGACAGCTCGCAAATATCGACATTCGACGGCGCATCCCTATTTACAACACCCTCCGGGCCGTGCCGCGCAGGTAAAAGCATTCAGACTTGTACAGGCGTTTTTTACATTTAAATTTTCGGATTTGGTTCGTATAAATTACATATAGTCTGACATTCCGAATGTTTTGGCCCTAAACACTACTTTCTTATACCTGCGGCAATAATAATCACTGTAATTAATTGTTTCGTTTGCAAGGAAAAATGTTGTAGCTGCTGATTAAACACAAAAAATTTTCCAAAAAAATTTTAAAAAAAAAACCCCCCAAAAAAAAACCGGGAAAAAAAAAAAAAAACCCCTTTTTAAATTTTCCAAAAAAAATTTTTAATTTAAACCCGCCCCAAATTTTTTGGGGTTTTGCGCCAGCCCCACTCACAGGGTGGACAAAAGCGCTAACTTATTTCGCGCTTTAAAATGTTATAAGTGTTTTATTTAAATAAAAGATGTTTTTAGAGCCTGATTAATTGGGAAAATTTAATACTTAAATAAAGTTACAAGAGTAGTCAACAGAACGGTGACAATGCCGGTTCAAGTCCTGCCCGAGTGGAAATTTCATTTTTTTGTTTTCATGTGGAATAGCATGTGATAAATATTAAAGTTTTCAAGTAGTTAATAGTGTTTTTTTACGTATTTTCAACTTTTTATCTATAAATAAGCAAATTGACCGTGACTATCTTTATTTTCAGGAAACGAGGAAACTATTGTTTCAGGTGACGAATACAAAAATACTTACCCTTTTGCGTAATCACGTCGCTAATCAAGGCAGTAAATGCAATTAAAGAATACCGGAAAAATATAAGGTAAAACACAATATTTAAAATACCATTTTATTATTGATTTATAGAACACTGTTTTTAAATTTATACCCATGTTAAAAATGCAAACGTTTCTTTATCCTTTCTGATTGCAAAAAAGAACAAATAGGGTAATATTCGTCATATGTTTGTTAGTTACATATATTAGTCTTCCTAAAAGAAAAACCAATGTAAATGAGAGATCTTGTGACTATCTATATCATATTAATTATAAGAAATAATTATCAATAAAATTACTTGATAGTGGATATATTGTATTGTAAAACGCGAAATATATTAGTTGACTTATTTACCCCCCGACCCCTCGTGAAACCTCGGGCCGTGGGTAAAATAAAATGTAAATAAGTTAACTATAGGCTCCGACCAACTCGTTGGTCTAATGGTAGCAATGCTAATAATAATCAACTGTGGATTTCCGAATATCCAAAGCTAAAAAATGGCGACAGTGCATCTTGTGTAGATGTTATATGGCTGGAGATATTTCACCTGCCCCATGCTTGTCGGTCCTCCTTTAACATTAAAAATAATATTCACGTTTGTAACCGTTAACATTGTATTATTTAAATGATAATACTACTGAAATTACCGTACAAATAATATCGCGCGCAAAAGCTAGTAAACCGGAATAAGCGTAGACGACTAACGGTTTGCAACGAGCAATCAGTCTCAAGATAACCGAATGAAAAGCATTGAAAAAGCAATTTGCTGCCAGCACTTGTAAGCTTGAATCTAGAAATTATGTTCAATAAAGTTTTCCAATTAACCTACTTTATGTTATGTTAATTAGATATTGAATTTGCTGAGTAGGCATCGGAAAGAGACATCAAAGTTGATCATACTTTTTTCAATTTATTTCAAAGAAAAAAGTTCCCAACTAAAAAAGCACAAAATGAAATGACTTCCTCAACACCTTTCTCATGCGACAGAACAACCTGATTTGAAAGACAGAGATGGCTATCTTTTTAACAGTAGCGCGGTTAACATTGACATTGACACATTTTCCTCGATTTTTCATAGGAATTCTACAGCAATGAGTGAAAGAGACGGATGTATCCGTCTACCAAAAAAGGAAGACGAAGAACGTCATGCGCCACACGACATGGAGCCAGGAAATATTTCGTTTTTGTTTACGAATCTTTTTGTTTTCAAACGAGAATTTTGCCCTTTGTATAGCGCCGTGCGAATTTATACTCTATCTCATTCAAATAAGAGTTACTATAGCATATTTGCATAAGTAGAAAGCCTCTTACAGAAACTGGTTGTCGGAGGCCGGGCGCAGTGTTGTGTTGGCGTTACTAAGTTAATAATTTATTTAATTAAACCCCATTGTGCTGGGCTTTCGTCACTGCGCCAACAATGAGAAGACGTACCGATTATTGTGACTGATTGTGCGTTGCATCACAATCGCATAACACTACATCGTATGAAATCAAGCGCATTTATCATCTTCAGATATTGTGTTCATATACACCCGCTTTGGTCAATGGCAAAAAATAGAGGACACGTTTGATCTATCTACTTTTTTATGATCTGGTGTTGTCAAGGTGTTAATGTTAATTATTACCTTATTAAATTGTACTATTTATTGCACCAAGTATTTATTGCACCAAGAACATTTTATAATTGCATTGTAACAAGAAACACTAGACCGTTTTAAGAAAGCCAGTTGCTATTTTCAATGTTAAGTCCCTTAATCCCAGCACTACGTTAGATTAGTTAGTACTTAGCAGCTGGTCAAGGATTGTAGGCCCTTCGCCACAAGTCCTGCGTCAGAGACAATTTTTATGAATTTAGAAGGACTTACTAAGGAGATTCTCCCAAATACTGTCTCTAGTTTACCACACGACTGCTGCAATTAAAGCATCCCGAAACGTTTTTTTTTTCTCCCCCCCCGCTTTGGAAGCTTTGCAGCAGCCGTGGTCACGGGAGACCAAAGAAGTTAAAAATCATTTTCAAATAAGTGTAACTAATATATCGCGTTTTAAACCGTTAAAGTGTTTTATTTAAATAGTTATTTCTTGTTAAACTCAAGCTGTAAACAAAAATAACTTATTCACTCTAAACGTTGAATTATCGTAATCACATTAATTGCTACTAATTCCACATGTCCTGGGTTCAAGACCGCTTCAAAAACATTCCCGGCGACGACATAAAGCTAACATTAAAGTTACGTAGCGTTTAACGAACCGTAATAATCGTTATAAAGATGCTGCATGTTTACGTAATTCTTTGGCTATGTGAATAAGTCGAAATTAAATAACTCGTGACTTCCCAAGCATTTTATTAATTAAGAAGCTGCTCGTGCAGAGCTATTTAGTGTTAGCCATGTTAATTCATGTTAGCAATAGCTTGGAGCGCTGTGAATGACCGAGGGACACTGGATAAAACGTGCAGAGTGGAAATAAAGTGGCTGTTTGACTCGTTGGTGTAATGGTAGCAAATAGCAATCAATGGGTTCGATTCCCACCCGGCCATAATTTTTCTAATTAATTTATAATTTTTCCGACTTTGCTTGGAAATCAGGATATTAAGTGGGTGGTAGGAATATCGAAGTTCCGTCCAGGCCGCAAGCCACCGTGCGCAGATGTAAAAACCGTGAAATTTAATCGTGTTTTCAAATATTTAAGTCAAAATAGATCAACACCGCACCTTGTTCAGATGGCTGGAATGTTTCACCTACCATCAAGTGAATCCTGCGCTTGTACAAAGTGGTCTTGTAATAAGTATTAGAACTTTATGTTATGCATAAATGTACTGTACGCGAGTAACATTTTTTCTATTTTGTCTCACTAAACGAGCAGAACTCTCTTGTTTTTAAATTGCATTTTGTTGTACTCTCTGTTGACGCCATTAAAAACTAACACAGCGGTTTAATGTCTACTTAAAGGTTAATAGGTAAACTTGTATAAAAAAAATATGTATGTTATCCTTCTTGTGCAAAATCGGTAACATGATATTGAATTACAAGGTAGCAAAGCTGCTTTTTTTCGTTATATTATCATTACAATATAAAATTTAATATCTGTTTATAAATGTTATTACAATTTTACGAACAAAATATAAATCGTTATTCATTTGTTCTTTGCGCATCGCGTTAGAACTTCACCAAACAGAATTGTTGGACCCTCAAGATATTTTTTTATTTCTCTACAAATAGAATGCTCATGTATACAAAGCAGCGGGCATTTATAAGTATTGTACATGTGGTAAACATAAGCGTCGAAACACTAAAGGAGCGAGTTATGTTTTAGTGGTTGTCGGAAACAGCTCGTAAGTATTTATTGCGATAATAAAGCAGCTGGTTAGGACTATTTCGGTGTGCAGGCGAAATACTCAGAAATGGACCCAACGTGCACTTTTGTCTGGAGACTTTAAGCAGATTTATGTTACTAGCTTGACTATTACGGAAAGCTGAAAAGATAAACAAACATTTGAATATATGTTAGTGATAAAAATGTGCTTTAAATTTTTTTTAAACTTAACGGGTTGAAACACGCTATATATAACCGTATCGAAATGCTTGCTGCAATGCATCCAAAATGTTGGGTTGTAGTGTAAAATAAGTTGACTATTAAATTTCGCTTTGGTTAAAAATGTTGGATACGATACAAATTGCTGATTATTACAAACTTCATATTTTTTTTTGTCTATAATCAAATTATACTTATAGATAAATTACCTAAGGATTACTATAGATTAATTATGTAAAAAAATATATAAAACAAAATAAAAATATATATCTTTAGTAGTCGAGTTTCGTAGGTGGAAAAAGGATATCGGTTTTTCTTTGCAATTACGCAATTAATTTAATTGCAAAGTATTAATTTATTAAATTGCTTGTATTATAAAATATTAAAAATAGAAGTCCGAACTGACATCTGTCTAAATCGAATCTTAGACCCGTCTAACGATATTAGCTGCTAATACGGTCATCAGAATCCCATCAAACGATAAAAGTTGAGCCCAGCCAGGTGTCGTGGGAAGCCAAGCGTGACTCGAACGGACACGACTCAACGACTGCCGTTATGGCTCCGTGTCCACACGCCAGCAACACAATATCAGATATCTATGTCAAGAATACCGCTTGCAGATACTTAGCAGTGCAATCTGAATTCGATTTATAACACTACAAATGCATTTCATATTTTCACCAAAAAGAGAAAACTTCTCCTTATTTTGGACTTGGCGGTGGACATATTTCTGTGCCATCAATCTTATAATAACGTTCT